TGATGATGACGATGATGATGGTGGTGATGTCGTAGAAGGTTTTTTTATTTGCGTTATATCTTCCTCCTATCTATTATTTCAATACAATTTTTAATTGGACAATTCGGATCAAACAAAGACGTTGAAGAAATTACGCACGATTTGGATCGGGATAAAGATGATAGTGGCAAAAATGTCCGTACAGAATTCAACTGTATTTAATTTTTAATCACAAAATTTCTTCTGACTTTTCCTCTTTTTCGAATGCACGCAGATCGAAACAACAACGCAAGATCCTTCCACATCTCCTCACTCTAAAAGTACCGATGATTCGAATGAGGAAGATAATTCAGCTGATTCTGATTCTGATTCTGACTCTGATTCCCCTGATGAACAACTTGAAATTGATCTCAAGGATATCACAAAGCAACTGAACATGATTCCATTATACGAGGTGCGTAACGAGTTGAATTTTGATTCCTGCTTCTCTGCCCATTTTAATATATTTATATACTTTAGTGGAGAATTGGAGGTATAAATATCACGCAACGATTTCGTCAATATCAACAAAAGGTGGTCAATAAAGTAAAAAGCAATGGATTAACGTGGAAAGATTCTTACGAAATTTTGTAAGTATTTTGAGGTGCCATACGAAGTAAAATCACGCTCTTATTAAATTTATTATCATTTACAATCATACCTCAGAGCCTTATCATCGATCATTGTTCTTGCCCATCCGTGCCCTTATCCGGACTTTACCGAAATCGAATGGTATACAATAACTATAGAGAAACCATTCATGATAGAACAACCTATAATACCATCTTCGATATCCAATTCACTTCAAGAAGCGACAAGAAAACATCTAATGCATGAAGACAGCTATATTTACGCAGATAGATCAACATTAGGTAGAGCCGCAGCTTCTGCGTTTAACGATTTTCTACTTAGCTTCAGGGGGGAGATCAAATGACTAATACTAATTATAAACATTTTATATTGTAATAAATCTTAACATACTTTAGACGCAGTCTCCCACCACTTTCTCCATCAAAAATGACCGAAGATTTACATTGTTGCAATCTGCTGTACCCACACGTGCGTCCCATATTTAATCAACCATTCAAAGATTATGATATTCAACTTAACCGTGCCGTAAAAGGAACCAGAAAAAGACCCGATTTCTCGTGTTTAGTCGACAAAATACCGATTCTTGTTTCCGAACTTAAACCCCTAGGATGTACACCGCTTCAAAAAAAAAAAGATTTTGTGAGAGTACACTTGAGAGCCAAGAAATCGTTAAATCAACAATTAAATTCAAAAGGTGGTCCCGGCGAAGTGATGCTATTTACAAATATGGGTATACAATATATATAAGATGAACTGTTGGCTTTTTCATGTATATCTGTTTGCTAAATTTGACACATTTACATTATCTAGGTGACGTGGTTAGTTCATTTTCTATGGATCTCAGCAAGGGACTATACTGTTCATGGTCTTTCCATACGACTAAGTTGACAATTGACAGGGCTTCAATACCATTGGTAGAATCTACATTTTCTCACTTTGTCGCATTAGAGGTATACATTGTTTCAATTGGCATGATGAATCTTTCATTTTGAGACTTACAACAATTTTGCATTTACAGAAGCGAGTTAATAATCTAGCTAAAGATTTTAAAAGACGTAAACAACCATTCACGCCACCCGGACAAATGAAATTCATGAGCGAATTTCCCGATTCTCCACAAATTAAGCGGTTACTTGGATGATCATGAAAATAACAAATATCTATCTTGACTGGACGATCAAAAAACAATTGTAAAATTTTTAGAATAGTTTTTTTACAGCATAAATAATATGTTTAATACTTATTTAAAAGAAATTATTATGAGACTTGCAGAATCCTTACATCTTTATAAATTTTTTATAAATTTTAATTACTAATAAATAAATAAATATATATATATATATTGATCTATATGCTGTATAATCTCAAAAAAAATTTTAATTTTCAATAAAATGTGATAAGGAATGAAAACAAACTTGTTCGCCTGAAAACAAAATTTTCAAATGAATGAAGCTATTTTCGTTATTTTCTATGGCATGACATTTCTTTGTTGAGAACAGATTTTACTATATATATAAAAAGTGTGATGACTTTTGTTGTTATATAATTACCTAATTAAATTGTTTTTAATAAATAACCTTTTGAATATCATAAGTTGCTATGGATCTCAAACATTAATTTCATTTTTTGTTTCCTGCCAGGTGTAGCAAAAAAAAACTAAAGTACTTCAAAAAAAATTTAACCAACTCGCTAATGATAAAAATACTGGAAAAATTTGAAAATATTTGATAAAAGGCTAGGTTGAATCCAAACTTTTCATTTGAAATTCGTAAGTTATGTGGAGAAGGGAAAGGAGTTGCCGCTTCTACCGCAAAAAAATTTCTGCTAATGTAAAACCAATCCGAGAAAGAAAACGGTAGAGGTGATTCAAGAATGGCCAATAAAGAAAAAAATAAAGGAATGAGAAATAATAGTGAAGAAGAAAATGAATGATGACAAAAAGATATTCAATTAGACAATAAAAAAATGGCCGTAGAACTTTTAACAAAAATATTTAATTATATTGAGAGTAATAATTATAAAACACTATATTCATGCATTCTAGTCAATAAAAAAGACGCATTCTAAACTTATGGAAAGATCTATTTTCTTCTATTGAAGTACCAAAATATTGATTAATGGTTTCTTAGTAAAAGATGACGAGGATTTCTTAACAAAAATAATTTTAAATTATTGGAGAAATCACCATCATTATACAATTTACAACTGGATTGGATTTTTAAGGAATTAAATTGTAATTTAAATAGGCTTTTTTTAAATAGTAAATGTGGAATTCATTGCTTAGAAAGAAGTTTATTTTAGATACTTCTATTCGTATGAATCATTAATAATAGATTAATGTTTGCTCCAAAACCTTCATGAATTAAATTATGAATTTAGCTATAACCCAATAAAACGTTTCCGATAATTGTGGCTTGCTTGATAAATTATCAAATTCTAATAGAAATATTCAAGTTTTAAAAAATAAGATATAAAGGTTGTTCAGATAGCAATAAGGTTGTTCATAATCTAAGCTCAACTTATAAAAGCACAACATCAAATACTATTAATGTGTATGGAATTTTAAATTTATCAGATGATTTCATGAAAGCAATTTCTATTCAATAATTTATTATAAAAGAAATGGAAAAATTCTTAATAATGTTAAACAATCGTTTCTTTTTTGATGATAGCACAATCGAAAATTAGATTGATGGCTATTTATTATTATTTAAATTAATGGGAAAATCTCAAATTTTGATAATGTTGAAGATTCGGAAGAATTAATTGGACAAAATTGTAAAAATCCTAGAATATTGTAATATAATAAATGATAATGAATATTCAAAGTATTAAGTCAAATATTACCAAAAAATTTAAAGTTACAATTTCTAATTGTGATAACATTTAATTATTTTAATGACTGATTAGAAAAGGCCCAAGTCTTTTAAAATAGAATTCTTTAAAAGGATACGATTAAAAAATATGATTTTTAAAAATTATAATTATTTATTTTATTATTAGGTTTTATTATTATCGATTGTGCATTGATTTTACTAATACGTTCATTTACAATACAGAGAATGAGAAGAAAATACAATTAAAATGGTTTAACTATTATCAATGAACCTTTTTTTTTCTGGCGCTAGATAACAAATTCAAGTATTTCCATATACAAAAGAATTATGAGTTTTAAAACAAGTAGTGAAACGACGAATTCTTTTTTTGGGCAATAGTAACACCTTTTTGAAACGAAATTCATTCGCCCAAATCAGACAATAATAAATAATAATGCGGAAAAATACTATTATTACAATTTATTTATATAGTAATAAATAATTAAAAACATAATGTCATACTAAATAAATTGAATTCCTAAAAAAAAAATTTTTTTTTTCTCTTGCCACTTTTTTTTAATTTTTTTCTAATATATATATATATATATCCTTCTTGACCTGAAGGAGAAAAAATTTTGAAAGTAAAAGAAATTAGAAAAAAGAAAAGAAACATCATATAAATATTAATGATTTGATAATATTTTATTGTATTATTTATATATTCATTCAGTGGCATAAGATTAAAAAAAATTTTCTTTAGAAATTCTTTTAGAAATATTATTTATTTTCATTATTATTATTCAGTTTTAATTTGAATTAGTTTCAACATGGACCCAAACACATCAACAGGAGTCTCGCCATCATCAATAATAGTCGGAATAGTAATAGGATCACTTGTTGGACTAAGTATTATAATAGGTTTGTTATGGTTTCTCAATAAGAAAAGAAGACAAAATTTTCAAGAATCATCCAACAATGAAAATTTTGAAGAAAAACAAGAAAAGCCAAGATCGATAATAACAACAAGTAATGATGATGAAACTAATTCAATAACAAAACCTAAAAAAACCAAAGTAAAGTCAGATAAACCGCCATTTCTCACTTTACCAAAATTAACTAGACCATTATCAGAAAGTAGTTCAATAAAAGTATTGTTGATCAATCCTGATGAAAAGGATAAAGATAAATCATTCTCATTTGAAGATTATTTTAAAATTATAAAAGAAAAGAGGGAAAAGAAGGACAAGAAAAAGAAATTGGATAAAGAGAAGAAATAGAGGGAAAAATAAAGGAGGTTGAGGATAAGAAAATACTTTTATTATTTTGAACAATTTAGAATATTTTTTGTAACAATTTATTTTTATTTATACATTTCTCAAACATAATTTGGTTTCAATTTAATAAGTTCTTATAATTTTATAGTCGAATAAATAGATTGTTAGTGTATATTTATTTTTTTTAAATATTAGTTTCATATTCCAGTTTTTTTAAAAAGTACTTTTTGTACAATTTTTTTAAAAAAATAGAATAAAAAGTTACATTATTAAATTAAGGTTTTATTATAAACTTATCTTTCTACTTTTTTAAATCTCGTTCTTCATGATAATTATTGATAATTTTTGTAATGCTCAATGTGGTACTTAATATCATAACCGAGACCCCAAACCCAACACATGCAACTGCCGGTAATTTTTTCCTACTATACCATTTACCAGATGTTAGTTTTAAAAAGCATGCAGGTGGTAGAATGAATGCTAATGCTGTTGCTGAAAATCCTCCAGTCAGCTCTAAAACAATTCCTAAATCATTAGTCAACAGCGATATAAACATTGCCCCGGCCACTAATAATGTCGTTATTATAACATGACGTTTCAATAAATACATTTCATTTGGATAATAATATTTTATTATCACCTATATTTGATTAGATATCAACAAAGTAGGTATTAATAATTTTGATAAGAATTTTAACAATGACAATAACATCATAATTGTAATAATACCTCTCTACAAACAAACACTTCTAATGGTAATGTTGTAAACATATTAAATCCAAAACAAAATCTTGCAATATTTATTATAAAATTATTTTGAGGAAAATTATTTAAAATATTTCCTTTGAAAAAAAAAATATTATAATATAGAAAATTAATTTTTAAAAAACTAATTTTATGACAATTATAAATATTTTATTAAATAATTTAATTTTTTACCTTGAGTTTTATCAGTAAATACAAGATATCCAAATAATGCCATTAGCATACATGCAAGCATGGATATTCCAGTTGATAAATGCGTCACTGCTTCAAATCGTTTTAATGTTGGCTTGCGTAAAGAATCAAAAATAAGCAAACTGTTGTGATGACAAACAAACGCTAATAATAATAAACAATGATGGTGATATTTTTGCAAACAAAGATAAGTGATATTATTTAACTTTTTTTTAAAAAAGCTATAAATAACAAAAAAATCGAATTCGACCTCAAGATTATCTATCTATCTATCTATCTATCTCCGATTTTAAAATTTTTTAAATATATTATATCAAATCTTTGATGCGTCGTCACTAATTAATATTCGATGTTTTCTTTGTAACAGTAATAATACAAAATCGTTTTTTGATAATCTTCGAATTCAACTTTTTTTTAAAAAAATGTAATTTTTTTAATATTTACCGAAACTAATTACTCCAATTGACTAATATTTAATTAGGTGGAAATTTAAAGATTTATTAGAAAGACATATTACACAAAAAAATGCCATCAACTTAATTAATTTAATTATTCTACTAACCTGAAATACTTGTGGTTGAATAAACTTCCATCTTGTGTCTGGATTACCTTTCAAACTATCATCAACCTGAGGCCCTTCTATCACTACACTTGCTACAATAATAACCATTGAGATCAAAGCTAATCCGCTTGCTTTGGCTAATTTTGATATGTCACGATATAATGATAATGGATATGATATAAATGCGGTACAAAAAATTATTATGAAATATCTATCTGTAAACAAACGTAATATTGGTATATCGATAATTTGTGGAAATACTGATGCGATGACGTGAGGAATTGTGTCGCCTATTTATTTTAAAAGAATGATAAATTAATATTCAGCTTTAATGTTCTTTAACTGATCCATCTAAAAAATATCCTTGCTTACCAATAATAACACAGAATGCACACATTCCACCAAATGCAAATGCTAATTGGAATAAAGATATTGAAATATGGCCACCTTTTCCAAAACAAAAATACACTACATCTTGATATGAATTTCTTCCTGATAATTTAGAATTATAAACTAATAGTCTTATCGTCCAGTCAACTACAATTGTAAGTACTACCAATAATATTATTCCTGTAAAAACTCCCGCCTCCCGAAATGCAAATGGCAATCCTATAATTATAATTTATCATTATTATTATATTTTTTATTAATAATAAATTTTATAATCAAGAATTTTATAATCAAGATTTTAGGAAAGATGAAAATGAAATACTAACCAATTATACCTATTGAGAAAGAAGGATGAGAAAGGATGGGAGAATGAAGGAGGTGAGAAGGTTTGATCTACTTATAATTATTACCATTAAATACAAATGTCAAACAATCACAATCTAATGTTTAATTAAAATTTACCAGCTCCTATAATACTGTTTGCCATATTTAGAAAACTTTCAAAAAAAGAACCACCATCATTAGGCATTTTTAATAAACCAACACCATCATGCTCTAGTGATACAATATGTAACGTATCTTTTGGTAACGCTGCCAATCTAGAACTTTCCTTTATAAACTCGCTACTACTAGAATCAGTAGAAGGCAATAATGGTGCTGTATCACCATCATTATTATTATTACTGCTATTATTGTTCAGACTATTACTATCGTCTTCTGTGTCATCATTATCATCATCTCTTTGTCTACCAAAATTTACTGGTTGGAGTGATATAGATTCCTCATTCTCTTCTTCATCATCTATTATAAAAGGACTATTCTCACTAATAGAATATTGATTCATAGTGTTGTGAGTACGTGTATTTAATTATTTTCTGATTTTTATATGATAAAATGAAAATGTGGCTGTAATTAATTATGTTACTTTGAAACTATGAAACTATGTATATAAATTTTTTATGTATGACAAAGCTTAATAACTTTATTTTTATATATAGAAAAAAGCTTGCAATGCTTAATATTAATATTGATATCAGATACGCGCTAACTGTTAATATGAAAAAATACTAAGCAATAAAAAAATTTAAATTTGTTGACTTTACAACGCCAAAAATATTCTTTATTGTTATTGATTTATTGTTATCCAATGAATATGGAGTAAATTAATTGGTGGTACTCAGCATTGATTTTATTTTTGTACAACTTTTAAATTTTTTTGATTAAAAAATGTCTTTAATAAGATTTTCCAGGAAATTATTATTACATAACACTAGTAATAAAAAAACTAAAACCCTAGTATCACGTTTATTTATAACATCATCATTAACATCATCAAATTCATCAATAACACCCAAGAAGCCTTATGGTTTAAATAATGATTACTTTTACATCAAAAAAAATAGATATGATAATAGTAGAAATAATAAAAATAGTAGCGATAGTAGCTATAATGATAATAGTAGAAACACGATAACAGATACGCTTTCTAAGTCAAAAGAAAAATTCGAAACTCTTAAAGAAAAAGTCATTCAACTTAGCGAAGAAGAGAGGTTAAACGATGCTATCAAATTGGTAAAAAGTGAAGAAAATCTAGAATTCAAAACTGGGGAAGCTTGGGATCAATTGATAATGGAATGTGTTGATAAAGGAAGAGCTAAAATGGCCGTTAGATTATTTGATGAGGTGAAGTTACATGAGTTAATAAAAATATTATAATTCTCTTTATTAAATAATATATAAATAATTTTTATTTTGAGTAGATGAAAAGACTTTCACTTCCTTTTACCAAAGGAACATTCACAACTATATTAAACGGACTTGCTGATTATCGTATTTCTCCTCAATTAGTAGAATATGCCACATCATTAATAAAACAGCTAGTTCAATCTAGTGAATCAAGACCTGAAATTAAACTTGAGATTGATCATATAAATTCATTATTGAAAATTTGTTATCGCTCAAAACATTTCCAACTTGCATTAGATACTTACGATAATTTGATTAAAGGTAACAAGAAAGTGAAGGAAAATAGAGATACTTATTTATACTTGATGAAAATAGGTTCAATTAGTAATATAAATGAATCAGAAAAGTTTTATGAAATAGCAAAAGATATTTGGGAAAAGTTAATTAAAAAACAAAAATCAAATGATGATGGATCCGTGGTTATTGACAACGATTTGGTGTGCGGTATAATCCAAACTTATAACAATTCAGGTTATACATCTGAAGCATTTGAAATTGTTGACAGTATTTATGGATTTGGTAAAATTCAAACAACAACAACAACAACAACTAATATAACATTACCAGTAACAAATTTTGTTCTAGATAATATTTTTAGTTTATGTTTTAAATCAAGACGATTTGATTTAGGCGCAGAATATTATAATCAAGTAATAGAAAAATACCCTGATCTTAATATCAACGTTACCAGTTACAATAGTCTGATGTCTCTCAACAACTTAAGCTTTCAATACAACAAATCAATTGAAATATACAACCAGAAATTCAAAAATTCCAAGATAATACAAAATTCTGAAACCATTGAATTGTTGATAACATCATGTCAACATCTTTGTGATTTGGAAACTGCAAAAAGCATTTTAAAAAATGCATTTGAAAATAAAGTGATTTTGAAACCAGTTGGTCTAGCCAGATTGATAAAATTATCTTCGGAACTAGCCACAACCATCGAAAGTTATGATTATGAGTTGTGGGATGAATTCTTTAAACAATTGTCTTCCATAAAGGCCAAACGTAAATTTTAATTAATTTATTATTATTAGTTACACGAATCACTCGAACCGGAAATTTTTTATTTGTACAACACTATTACTTGTATATTTATTGCCGTAACAATGAATATTTACTGCAAGGAAATTTTTCCTTCTCTTTTTTTTTTAAAAAAAAAAAAATAATAATTATTGGGGGGAAAACAATAAATTTTTGTCGTTGCATATAAAAATATTGTAATTTTATCAATGTAAATATTCATATGAATATTTGAAAATTGTACTAGTTTGCAACTACAACGACGTCAAAACTCCCGTTGCAGATGGTGTTGTTTTTGATAAGTTTATTCAACAATCCAAACTTTTCTTTTCTTTTTTTTTAAAAAAGAAAAAATGTAACGGAGTATAACAGAAGGGGGATTTAGTTCCTTCCTCTATGCCGAAAAGTGGAAAAAGGGCAGCATATATTTGATTATGATGAGAATAAAAAAGGAAAGGTTTTGGAGCTCTGAAGCTCAATTTGTAATATTAAAATGTTTAAAATAAGCTGGAGGTATATTATAATTTTTATATTATAACGAAGTTAGTTGCGATAGTCGCAACAATGGTGGGAAAGGAAACGAGTAGAAGTGCTTGGTGGGACGGACATCGGGAAACTTAATATTAAATTTAGTTTTTAATTTAATGAAAAATTAAAAATTTTGACTATTAATTTCATTTGTAATAGTAATAATATGTCATATATGAAATATGTATAATGTAATGATTTTTTTTTTTTTTTTAATAAAGAAAAATGTTTGGAAACAACATTATAAATCTTGATGTAGATCAAATCCATCTTGATATATATGACGTATGTGTGCAACAAACATTGCATATAATTCAGATAAAATTTTCTGGTAAAAATTAGTAATTAAAAATATTATATATTTAAATATTTCAAGTTTAAAACTTTATATATGTCTTCTTCTACGACAGACCGATCTAAAAAAATCGGCAATGCTCAGTCTTCAAATAATGTCCAATCAACTAGATCAAATTCCAATAACGATAATAACAACAATACCAATAGTAATGATGGCATTAATGGAGAACAACAAGTTGCTCAACAACCTCCTCAACAACAACAACAGCAAGAATCCATATTTCAAAGTATTTCTCAATTTATATTTCGTGCAATAGTTATATATTATATTTTCTCATATTTCTTTGGAGGTAGGCATTATTGTTATATTTTTCAAAAAAATCTGCTCTCAAATTTCAAATTATTTAGTGTTGATTTTTATTATTATTTACTTAGGCTCTACTAAACAACCTGATACTGCAACAAATGACTATTATTCAAATGTTGGTGGTAAAAGTTTACCAAGTTTATCTAAAATAACTCAATCATGGCCCTTGGGTTCGAATATGGTAAATTCATTAAATTAACGACAAATAAATTGATTGATTGATTGATTGATTGATTGATTGATTGATTGATTGATTGATTGATTTTATCAATTATTTTTTTAGGAATTACGTGTTTATATATCAGAAGATGAGGAATTCAGTAAATTTGATGATGCATTAGCATTAGTTTTACATGAAAAAAATATTGTTTTTGGAGATTGGGATGATGAAATAGAAAAATTTGTTGAAATCACGCCTTCCAAAGTAATTTATTTGATTGATTGATTTGTGGCTTTAGAAGGAATGAAGTTAGAATAATAATGATAACAATAACAATAACAATAATTTGTTTATTAAATACAGAATGTTCAAAATAATGGTACACTTTACGCTCATATTTATCTCACACTTGATAAATCTCCACCTAATCCTAATCACCCAGCCTTTCAAAGTAATATGAGCGTTTATAAAAAAAAGGGTAATTTTCTTATTCAAGAGATAGATATAAGGAATTGTGAATTTATTTACTAATATTATATTTGCGAGTATAGTCATTACAAGATATCATCCTAAACGTAAAATAATAAAAACGAAAAATCTTATTGGTGGTAGTGTTGATGGTGATGAAGAAGAAAACGAAAATGATACAGGGATTGAACAAGTAAGGGGAGATTTAGCATTTTTAAGAGAGGCAATATAAAGTCTTTCGGTTTATTTAACCAATGAGTGTTATATTATATACACACATATTTATTTAAATTTACGCATATATTTAGATAGATTCTAAAGAAACACCAATTGTTTCATATTGGGCTCAAAATTTAACTTTAAATATTGTATCTGATGATGCAGTAGTTCCATATACTCAATTACCTCCAGCGATTAAACCACGTAAGTCATAATTTTAATAACGACAATTTTTTTACAAGTAATCGTAACAAATCAATGATTTTCATGTTGGAATTTTTTAGTTGTTCAACTTGATCCAATAAAACCTAGTCAATATCTTCCAATATTATTTATAAATGATTTCTGGATTTTAAAAGATCATTTGTCACCAATCAATGAAACTGTCAAGTATGTTTAAATTCCGATTAATTAATTATTAGTATATTTAGGAGAAAGATTATTTGTTTGTTTTCTCGCAAGCAAATAATAGGAACAAAAATATTTACTTGTTAAATTTATGTATTATTTGATGGTGTGAATTTAGAACATTGCCTTTGACTATAAAATATTATCCAATATCATTTTTTAAATTTCAAGTTTACGTACAAATGGACGAATCATTCCAACGACAGGCGGAGTTCATGGGAGCTGATGCAAATAGTGAATTTGATGAGATAAAGAGAATGTTTAAGGAAACTAACCCTATTCTATTAGGAGTGACCTTTACGGTTTCTATTTTACATAGTATTTTTGAATTCTTGGCTTTTAAAAATGGTGATTATTTAATTTATTTAATTATATTATCTGAACGAATAAAATATCTGATAACAAAAATACAATTATTTAAATAGATATTTCTCATTGGAAGAATAAAAAGGAGTTGACTGGAGTATCAGTCAGAACTATTTTATCAAATATTTTTTTCCAATTAGTAATATTTTTGTATTTAGTCGATAATAATCAAGATACAAGTTGGATGATATTAATTGGCCAAGGTGTATCTGTTGCTATCGAAGTATGGAAGATTAAGAAAGCCATTGACGTTGAGGTAAAACAAAATTTGTTTTGTACACATTCAAAATTCAAAATTATTTGGTATTTCATTTAATATTTTGTTTTATTTAAATATTTAAAGATTAAGCCCACACAAAATAAATTCATGCCATATTCGATAAAATTTGTTGATAAACATAAATTATCAGAAACAGAAGCAAAAACCAAAGAATATGATCAAATAGCATTTCGCTATTTATCATGGTTGGCATATCCTTTACTATTTGGTTATGCTATTTATAGTTTGTTATATGATTCACATAAGAGTTGGTACTCGTTTATATTGAAGACACTCGTTGGATTCGTTTATGCATTTGGATTTATTATGATGACACCACAATTATTTATTAATTATAAACTTAAAAGTGTAAGTAATTTTATTCATATATATTATCCATTGGCGGCTTAACTTAAAAAAGATGCTGACTGATATTGTTTGATTTTTTTTAGGTTGCACATATGCCATGGAAAACTTTAATGTATAAAACGCTTGGAACATTTGTTGATGATTTGTTTGCCTTTTGTATAAAAATGCCAACATTGCATAGGCTAGCGTGTTTAAGAGATGATGTGATATTCTTTGTTTATCTTTATCAACGATGGGCTTATCCTACTGATGATAAACGAGCAAATGAATACGGTCAAGTTGCTGATGACGATGGTAAAAAACAATTAGAAAATCAAGAAGCAGAAAAGGAAACTAAAAAGGACAAATAAATGGAAATCCATTTATTGTAATTGTTATTTTAATTTTTAAAAAAAAAAACAATTAATTAAATGATAGAAAAATTAATCATTATCTAAAACGAAATAAAATAATTTAAAAGTCTTTAGGATCTCTTTTTCTTTTCTTCTTGTTATTGTTATTGATTCCAATTTTTTTGTTGTTATTATTATTATTGATTCCAATTTTTTTGTTGTTATTATTATTATTTATTCCAAATTTTTTGTTGTTATTATTATTATTATTTTTATTATTTATTATATTATTTTTATTATTTTTATTATTTTTATTATTATTATTATTTCCTTTCTCAGATTTGAACCAGGTTCTAGCCGGCCTACTAAATATTTCCGAACCATGCTCCAAAATATTTTCACTTTTTTGTATTTCCATTTCAGTTTGTCGAATAACCTTTTCTTCTTTCTCTTCTTTCAATACTTCATTGATTTTTGATTTTAATTGCTTCAATTTTTCACCAAGTTCCTGTACAGATTTTGCATCTACTGTTCGTCGTCTGATTTGATCTTTTATCGTATGTTTTATTATTTGCTTTAATAGTTTTCTGTCTGATTCGCATGTTAACGTAACCGAACTATTTGAATAAAGTGTAAAGTAAGAGAGGGAATATGATTAATTGGGGGAAGGAGCGAATGAATCAAACCAATGAAAGATAAATTCCACGTTGAAAAAAATTTTCAAAAATTCTATTATCAAAGAAAACTTACTGTCCATTACGACCAGCACGAGCGGTTCTTCCGACTCTATGTACATAATGTTGATAACTATTCGGAATATCATGATTTATTACGGTTTCTATACCTTTAATATCTAGACCTCTCGAGGCCAAATCTGTTGCTAGTAGAAAATCAACTTCACCACTTCTAAATAATTCAAGTGCAACAAGTCTCTATCAAAAAAAAATTTGCAAATGAAATAATTTAAATATTTATTTTTTTCTTTATTATTGTTATTATTATTATTATTATTATTATTATTATTATTATTATCAAGTGTGTACCTGTTCTTGAGTTAAACCACCATGTAACTCTGACGCTTTTAACCCAAATAATCCAAAAATAATTTTCATTTCATGAGCCAATGCTTTACTTTTGAAAAAAACAATAACCTTGCTCTTAAATATTCGAGAACACAACAATAACAATATTGGTGCTTTATCATTTTCTTTGTTTTGCCTTATTCTAATAAATTCATGGACTAGATTTTTTGATGTAGATTTTGCGCTGTCAACCATCAATCGTACAGGTTTACTTAACGATAGTTTAATAAGTTGGTCAATGTTGTCAGTCATTGTAGCAGAAAATAACATTGTTTGACGTGATTTTGGACAATTTTTAATGATTTCATTTAGCTCATCTGCAAATCCATCTTCCAACATTCTTGTTAAGGAAGGCGAGGCAACGTGGAAATTGAAGATTAATAAATAGCATTTTAAAAAATTGAATAAATAAATAAATAAATAAATAAATAAATAAATAATACTAGTTAATTACCTATCTGCTTCGTCCAAGATTAATATTTCGATTGTTTCTAGAGTGAATGAAGGTGAATTTCTTACATGATCGATAAGCCTGCCAGGTGTTGCAATTACAATATCCGGACGTTTTTTCAATTCATTTTCTTGTTTTTTAAGATTTAAACCGCCTGTATAAACAAAAAGAAATTATTTTCTTGTAAAAAAATAAAAAACAAAAAAAAAATAAAAAAAAAATAAAACTTTTAATAAATACCAACACATAAGCAAATATTAATGTCAATAAATTTGGCAAGTTTAGTTGCAACACTATGACACTGTATACCCAATTCACGAGTAGGTATTATAACAAGCACTCTGACCGTAGGCATTTGTCTAGGACGATACAATAAACGTTCCAGTACCGGGACAAGAAAAGCGACAGTTTTTCCAGAACCAGTGATTGCGCCACCACAAATATCTTTGCCCATTAGTGCTATGGGAATGGATTGTTTTTGTATGGGAGTTGGTTCAACAAATCCCAGTTGGCTTAGACCTTTTAGAATTGGTCTTGACAAATTCATTGTCTGGAAAGAGTCAGCCGGCTCAATGTCTTTTAGAAAATCATTTCGTTCTGAAAAGTATTCTTTCTTGCGCTAAGTTCCATTACAATAGAGGGGGAAAGAATTAATCAATTCAATTAGTAATCAATCTTTTCTTTTTTTTTCCGGGTACAATGTGTCAATAATAAATAAATTAGTGAGTGAAAAAAAAAAATAAAATAAAATAGCAGCAGTATTATTTTACCTCTTTCTCAAATTCATCATCTTCACCACTACTATCACTACTATCAACATTTTCTTTTTTTGAATTCTTGGTTTTATTTTTTATTGCTGTCTCAGATTCATCATCATCAAAATCATCTTCACTATTGTGGTCATTACTATCATCACTACTTTCATCGTCGTCATCATCTTTTTCCAACATTCCATATTTAACTCCTCCGCCAAAAATATCTAGATTTATGTATAAGATTGTTTTTTAAAAATTACGAATAAAAAGTTTTATTTTAATTTTAATTTTTAATTAATTACCTACCTATATCCTGATCTTCGTCTTCATCCTCGTCTTCATCAATACTCATTTTATTTTGATCATCATCATCGTCATCATCATCATCATCGTCCTCTTCATCATCATCAGCATAACCTTTTCAGCAAAACAATAATAATAATTTGGTTTAAAACAAAATCAACAACACTTTCATATACTAACTCGGTTCAGTGCATACATTTGAATGAATGAATGAACTAGGACGAGTTTTTGTATAAACAAGAAAAGGAAACATTAATACCATTTTTATTTTTTGAATTGTTATTTATTATATTCCCAACTTTATTTGATTCAACTATTATCGCATCATCGTCATCATTATCATCATCACTTTCATCATCACTTTCATTCTCGTTTTTATCGTCATCTTTCTCCTCTTCGTCACTAATTTCCTGATCTTCATCACTTTCCACATCCTCGTAATCATCATCATCCTCATCATCATCATCATAATCATCATCCTCATCATCCTCTCCCTCCTCCTCCTCCTCTTCTTCTGTTAACGTTTTTAATATGACTTTAACATCATTTCTTTTTGCTTCTATAATATCATCAATTGATTTTCTAGGAGCCTTTAATTTCAAAACAATTATATATATTTAATCAATATTAATCGGTTAAAAAAACCAATCAATGAATCATTCAATGAATGAATGAATGAATGAATGAGCCGGTTCTAAATAATAGTTACATCATCTTTCAATCCTAAAAAATACAAGGAATGATCAGTAGTTGGTTCTACTGCATCATCATCATCTTCTAAATCATCATATTCGATTTCAGCGTCATCTTCAATTGTCATAATAAAGTGTGCCATTTTTTTTTAGTTTTTGAAAAAAAATTTTATATAGATCTTATTTTTGTGGTGATCATCACGACGTAATTTTTTTTAAAAAAAAATATGCATATTAAATACGCATATAGAATTTTTAACAAAATGATTGTTATTTTGAATAAAATATTTTTGACAAGACAAGGAAATGTCTAATTCATTATCATCCGACAGAAAAGAATTTGCACTTAAAGTTTGTAATGAAATTTACAGCAGTGCTCTTTCAACCACGTCTGATAGTGAACGCATAAAAGAATATTTTTTACAATCAGTAAAAAAAAACAAAAAACTTTCTGAATCTGAGAAACGATATTGCAAAGAAAAATTTCTTTATGATTTTGAGTTGAGCATTGCGTTGCAAAATTCGGGTAAATCAAGAGAATGTAATAAATGTAAATCAACGAGATACTCTGATAGATTTTGTGAAAAGTGTATCAGGCTGCACTTGCAAAGTCTTTTTAAGAGTTGGACGTCAGGAAGTAAGATTGTAGATAATTTTATTCGACAGTGTCAAATAAATTCATCCATCCCAACTCAGATTCTAGAGTGGATACCTTACGAGCAATTTAAAGATGCAAAGATGTTGAAAAAAGGTGGATTTAGTTCAGTATATACTGCCACATGGACAAGAGGCGGGATTGTTGATTACGATGAAGAAGAAGAGAAATTTAGATATGTTGGAGCACAATACGTAGCATTAAAATCTTTAAATAATTCAAGTGATCCAGGGAAACAATTTTTTGAAAAGGTTGGTAGTTAATATTATAAATAAATTAATCTTGCAACATACATACATGCATACATATATATATATATCCATACATCCATATTTATAGGCGTTGAGTTATTCTAAAATCAGGTCAATAATGATTGTTCCTTGTTATGGCATAACCAAATTCCCAGAAAGTGGAAATTATGCAATGGTTTTAAATTATGTGCCAGAAGGAAATCTAAGAAATTATTTGCAAAAAAACCATTTGATTTTAACATTAAAAGATAGAATTACAATTTTTAAATATCTGTGTAGAGCATTATATCAAATACATGATAAAGATTTAATTCATGGTGATTTACATAGTGGTAATGTATTGATGGAGGGAGGTAATTGTTATATCGCAGATTTAGGATTATGCGGACCAGTTGAAGAAGAATTATCAAATAAAACGTATGGAATTATACCATACCTTGCGCCCGAGCTACTTGACGGACAAAAGAATACAAAGAACACAAAAGAGTCGGACATTTATAGTGTTGGAATGTTAATGTGGGAAATATTTTCCAGCTACCCACCGTTTGATAAGAGACCTCATAATTATCATTTAATTTTTGATGTTTGTGAAGGCGTTCGACCACCATTATTACCAGGAACACCCGGTGATTATGCAGAAATGATGCAGAGATGTTGGGACGCGGATCCATCAAAAAGACCGACCATTCAAGATCTTTTAGAATTTGTTAATAATAATGATAGATTGAGCGAACATCCTGGAACCAACAATTTGAATGCTACCGTCAATAAAAAAGACTCCAACAAATTATTTAAAAAAATATTTAAATTTTCCAGAAAGAAAAAAAATGAAGTTGACCTTAATAGTGATGGTGGTGGTAGGTTAAAACCAGTATATAAATCACATCCAAATGCATATCATAAAAGTAGAATATTA